CAAAGTGGTGGTGGGTTGGTTGAAAAATTCTGAAGAGGCTATGTGGCGATACAAGAATGAAATGAAGAAATTTAGTTGGTTGACAAGGAATATGTTGGTCAYTGTACAGTGGGTGGGGAGATCAGCAAATACTTTGTCAAATATGTTAGCTAAGCAAGGGGTAAATAGGGAAGAATTATTTTGGGCTCAGTTGTGATTTTTGTTTTTCTTTCCTACTTTACTTGTAAGTTTCAAGGAGGGGCTGCAGCTCGCGCCTCTCGTTGGGATGATGTATGAACTCACTCTAAATTTTTTTCTAAATCAATAAATTTATTACTATTCATAAAAAAAAAATAAATAAATGCCATAAAATAAAAAAAGCCAAAAAATTCAAAAAAAAATAATAAACATAATATTAATAAAAAATATAAACTTAAATTTTAAAATAATGTTTTAAAAAACCTATTATCTAAAATTAAAATACATAAACATAAGATGTAAAGCATATTCAATTGAGAATTTAAAAATAAAATCAAACAAATAAAACATTTTCAATCATGTAAAACCTCTATTGTCTTTTTTCATTCAATTGCATTACTTCAAGTAGCTAATGTAATGTAAAGCATATTACATTCCTAATTCTATGAGCCGCCTTTGTGCCACGCCCCTTGAGGCAAGCCCAAACAAGTCCATGTTCGGTCTTAAATTCTTAGTTTTCACACAAAAAATAATGATTTTATAATTTTAATTGCTTTTTAAGAATACATTTTATTAGGATGAATCATGAATGAATGAACAACATTTTATAATACCAAAACAATTGCCTATAATGAATGAACAACATTAGCAAATAGGGACTGAGGCACAAGGCGCATCAGACGCACCAGGCGTGCGCCTTTTGAAAGGGCTGCGCCTAGGACCTAGGCGAGGCACATACCCTGAAATGCGCCTCGCCTGAGGTGCACCTTTTAAATCACTGAATGGGAGTCCAAATAAATTATTTAATTTTAAATTATATCAAGGAGATTATGACAGGGTGATATCACCTCGTGTCTTTGTATTGGTGGTAGAGGTTTTAAGCAGGCTTATTGCAAAAGGTGAGGAAGAGGGTCTGGTTGAAGGTTTTAAAGCTGGTAGGGAAGGACTGTTTTTTTTTTTTGGGATCAGCAACACAAAAAAGATTTATTAATTATAAAAAGGAGTACAATAAGGAATTGTGGGCAAAGAGCAAGCCCAAAATCACTTTCAATATTTACAAAACAGCCCAAAACATGGAATGTCTCTGAATTCCTTGTTTAGTTAACCCATCT